GCAATTTGGGTAATCTAATCAATATTTAATATAAATTAAGATTTTAGGTCATTCCGGCGCCGGTAGCTCAGTGGATAGAGCGTCTGTTTCCTAAGCAGAAAGTCGTAGGTTCGACCCCTACCTGGCGCGTCTCCTTTTTTTAATTTTTTGAAAAAAAAATTTACAACCCTCAACTCGAAAAAGTGCTCCACGTGGCAACCAGCTACGGCAGATGCAGCAAAAACTCGGTGATACTGACTGTCGCCCGAGCATTATCCACTGCAGCAACAGGTGACCGTAAAGCCCATGCCCCTCTTTTTTCGCCCATTAAAACCCTAAAATGCTTATTGCATTTTTAAAATAAAAATTTAATCTTCAAAATTTTCATTTTCTTTTTCTTCCAATTTTGAGCTCTTCCAGCAGCCATGAAGGCGTTCGAAGTAGGTGGCACCACTCTCTTTCTGGCCCTTTTCTCTGACGTCACCAACTCTAAGTATGCCCTCTCTACTTCTCCCTCGGTATCTATAAATTTCTGCACAGTACATATATGAGATACGAGATGTTCGTTGTTTTTTTAATAATTACTGCGTGATATTGGGTTTTTCAAGAAATGTATATCTGTTTGCTGTGATTTAGTAGTCTATTTCATGCGGGTCTATTCGATTTTGTAGAAAAATTATACAGTTATTTTATTATATTAGTATCTTCTTATTCCCTGCGGGAGGGCAGGGGAAAAAGCTGGAAAGATTTGTGCTTTTGAAAACGCTCCAAGTGTTTGGTTGTAGAAATTCTGTAAAAATCATCTTCATGTAATTTTATCTGTGGTTTGAGGAGAAAGTAAATTTGTTGGACTTAAAGCTACTGTCCGGCCTTCGGTTATTACCTATGTATTTTCTGTTTTTTGGTTGAATTCTAAGAATGTAAGACCTTTCAGTTGGTGGAATTAATATTCAAAAAGCATAAAAACCTCACTCTGATTTAGGTTGTTTATTGAAATTCTAATAGCTCTGAGTTCACTAATTCTCGTTTAGGAGTTTGTAAGGAATATTTTTTTTTCTAAATTCTCCATTTTGTGTTTATAGACGCCATTTTGTCATATTTCTTGAGATTTTTTCAGATGTATAGGGGGGAGGAGAAGTGCCTTGAATGATGATGATCTCTACAGTACAGACACTTCAATTAGGGTAGCGTATCCGTGTCGGACACGAGTCAATATCGACACTTCTCGGACACTCTACCTTAATCTTTTTTCTTTTTATATCTGAAAATATTATATATTGTTAATTTAAAGTTATTAGCAAATAACAAATAGGTACCCATGTTTAAA